AAACACCTCGGGTATTCCAAATTTTTATGCCTTTCCAGGTCACCCCCAGGTTTATGACGTGGATTTGCACAAAAAAAAATACATACATATATATATATATATTATTATACTTGAATGGCCAAATTGGATTCGGGGAGTTTTATGAACGCCGGCCCCGGCTCTGTGGCGCGCGGTATCATCTGTTCCCCAGACGTCATTCCTATCGCTTATATTCTATTATTATCATCAACACTATTATTATATGTATGTATATATATATATATATACAGTGAAAATATAAAGTTCCTAAACGTTTTGCAGTCTCTTCGCCACCGGTCCACGCCAAATCGCCCTCGACAAACACACACCCGTCACACCACACCCCGCGGCAGTGTATCGTTTGTGTAGGGTTTTTGTGGAAAATTGAAAACAATAGATCTATATGAGTTATGCATCGTTTTAAGTTTTTACAATATTTAAAAACCATTAATACATATTATAGTATCTAAATCATCGAAGCTAAAACTATAACCACATTTACTAGTGTTTATATATTAACATCAAACAAACATTGAATGATATGTATAATAAAAATAATAGAAATAATAGAAAAAAAAATACAATTTAAAAAACTGCAGTTACCATTAAATAAACCATTAGTAAATAATTTCTAAAAAATAAAAATGTAGCCATATTAATTATTAGTGTGTATATAAACGTAACTAACACTGATACTAGTACTTATGTATATTACAGTAGTACCTAATATTATGTACAACAAACAGTAATTTATAGATAGGTTTAAAATTAAAATAGCAAAATCATAAACCTAATTGAGACGAAAACTTAGGTTTTATTTTGATTTCTATTGAACTAATAAAAATGTAACAAAAAACAATAACAATTCAAACAACTTCTTTTAACATTTTAGTACAAATTATAAGTACAGAATATGCAAATATAATGTTACTCGTTAATTATGAATTGAACAAAAAATAACATAGAGAACAAAATATAATGCAAAAAACAAAATGTGTAACAAAAAAAATGGTAAATAATAAACTTTGTGAATTAATTAGGTATCAAAAATGAATTTATAAGTGCCCAAATTTAAACGTCGTAAATGTCTCAAGAGAGAACTGCATGGAATTCTGCTTAGGTATAATTTATCAATTGAAAACTTGAATGTCTTAACTCAGGACTCCACAGCTGTAATAAGGCTGTCCTTTTACACTATAATATTTTGTGGGGTAAGGTTTGGTATGACTTAAAATCGCAGCAAAACTGCTTGGCTATCCCAATTTAATTTTTAAAATTTCACCGACGAGGCACTAATTTTTCGAACGAACACAACGGTATAATATATTATAATATTAAGTAGGTATTGCGGAGGTTATATGTATATAATATTATAGTCTTACTCTTGTAGACGCTGTAGTACCGGTGCTGCTTGTCCGTTTTAACAACAAGTTTTAATACCGTCTTTTGTTGTTATTTACGGCCCCATTACCCGTTTGGTTTTAAAATAAGCGTCGTGTATAATATACCGAAGACACGGGGACGCCAAGGACTCTACCCAATACAAGGGGACCGTTCGAGACTCGTGTTGTATATAGAACCCTTAGATGTGTGTGTGTGTGTGTGTGCTCGCATACGGAAGAAAATTCGGCAGAAAGATTTATTTGTGGACTTATGTTCTTAGCCGGATAATTGACTGCTCCTCGGCCCCGTGCAGAGTAATCCGTCAAAGTTTTCGACCCGAGGAACACACTGTACTGCATACATGTAGTAGTGGTAGTAGTATAAGTGACAAATAACCGCCCAGGAATCGTTTATACCGTGGAAATAATATATACTTGTACGTCGGATAGGCGACGTGTGAGGCGAAAACGATAAATCTGTGAATCGGCGGCGGTGGTTTGAACGTGCCTTGATCGGGGGGAGGGTGTCGGAGACTTTATATATAATACACCGGATCGCATATTATTATCTGTATATATATAGGGGAATAAATTAATTTACGACCTGTTTTCGGAAAAATGACACGATATCGTGAATTTAAAATGTATACCAACTTACCAGCTATGTATATATAACATATTGTGATTGTGCGGATGTCTCGATAAGCTGATGATAAACGACCCGAGTAGCAATCGAGAGACAAACAATATGTTGTTTTGTTGATAAAAAAAAAATTAATTCCAACTTTCATTGTATAAATATTTTTCTGTGAAAAAACATGCTATAACATACTTCACTACGCCATGGTAATACAATCCTGTGGCGTTGAAGCAAAACGGATCGACATTTTTGTAACGAAGAGCCGATTACACTTTTTGTAACTTTTCAACAGGATTACGGTGTCCAGATAAAGTTCAAATTTTACTTAGGTCTTATTTGTAAAAAATATGATTTTTTAATTATGTTTCTGTCGAATAAAATATTGTTTTTTAGCTTCGATGCGGAGCTGAGTGTTTTTTTTTTTTTTTGAAAGCCCGAATGTTATTTACCATGTAAGCAAACATACTGTACACGCACGACTATTTGCCGCTATGTATGGTATTGTTGCACCCTTGTTGATAATGTGAAAAACTAAAGTAAAACTAAAAGGCAAACAAAAAAAAAAACACACGAAAGTCGTCGCAGTTATTGCGCTTCGGCAGTTTTTGATGGTCGTCGTTAAAAATAACGACCAAGCACATAATATTACGGCGACCGAAGATCAAACGGATACACGATATTATTATTATTATTATTATTAACGAAGAAAAAAAAAGTATATAAAAATAACGCGAGCCCGCCATATACATGGGATAAATGTGCTTTTGCCGTAAAAGGGGCAGATCAAAACAAGGGGAGGATGGGTGAGGACATCAAAACATTTGTGATTAGACCGTCGTAAACATCAGCGGTTGTCAGACATTCGGCCAAGAGAGAGAGAGAATTTCCGAAAACAGTTATCGTTACTAGTGTGTATAATATAACTCTGGTCGTAATTTCGAGTGTCAAAGGGGAAGAAGGGACAAGTCCTCGTGCATATGTGGAAGTCCGTTTTTGCCACGCCGCCCGAAAACATATCCAATAAAAGGGATTACAACGTCCGTACGGAGAGAGTATAAGTTATGCCTCTGACGGACGGAGGAGCCGGCTATTGGTTTTCCTGTAACGTTTAATTGGTTATCGTGTACCGTACAAACACAATATACACACACATATAAGGATAAGGGCGTTGGTTCCCCGCGTTTCTATTTGTGTAATCTATTCCATTTGGAGCAATAAAAACCGTACCGTTGTCGAACGGGCGGCGGTAAACTTTTCTTTTGAACGGCTATACGAAATAATACACGAGTGTTTCTATAACTGTTATAGCTGCTGTTAGAGGATCTAAACAGTTGCTGCTGCTGACACCTATGCACTTGCAGTCAATTAGCACTCGTGCATAGGACCAAAGGTTGTAGGACAAGAGGCGCTATAGACGCTACAGACGAAATTATTAGAAAACACTTTGAATTGCCGAATAATTATTATTGTCTGGAGTATTAACACCTTAACGCGGCTAATCCCTCGCGATAATACCTAATTATTACTATGTCTCTAGCTTGTAACTTAGCAGATGGCTAATCCGTTAAGTCCGTGTCGACAGCACGTTTCGAATTGCCATCGAAAAACAAAACATCGGCTTGGATAAACAACGGGATGAAGTGTTGTTTTCCGTGACGAGCATCGATAATAAGTTTTCGTACTTCTCGAGTAAGTCTTGAGTGTCTTTACAACGACAGCGATCGTATCTCGTAGAAATACACTTAAGAACGGGTAAAATACAAACAGTTTTTCATAATATATTAGGCTTGTTATATGTAAGAGCTTAAAATAGTTATAGGACTTTAATAAAAAAGTTACATTCGAAACAGTTACTTAACAATTTGTGTAAAAATATTGTTTAATAAATTATCGTGACAACATTTTCTACACAAACTATTATGTATTGTAAAATATAAGTCTAATGTATATTTTTTATACGTTTTTGGAATAAAAGTTGTCTGTTAAGTTCTATCCCTAATAGCCTGATCCATTGTACCGCATGATTTGTATACATCTGGAATCAAGTATCTTTTAGATAATTTTATAAACTTAATAGTTTTAGGTTTTTTCAGGGCATGGGTAGTACAGACTCTTAATCCGTGGCTTACTTAAACTTATAGACCGTCAAATGATATTTCGAATTACCGAGCTAGCAGACGGATAAAATGTATTCAGAAAGTTTTTTCAACTTCTTTGCTCAGATATTTAATGATCTACATAAGTATATTTTGTATGCACTGTATACTCAATGATATTACTTACAAAATTTTGTTATAATATTTAGTACTAAATATAATATAGGTTAAATATAATTCTTAAGAACCTTACATTTTTGGACAAATAAAAATTATACCCACAATATGTTTACAGTGTTAAAAAAATCTTTGACATTATGAACAAAATATTGTTTTTGTACTCTTTCGGCTCTTGACTCTAATTATTAAGTCGGTGCTTTATGTTATGCTAAAAAAGTGGTAGGCGCTTAAAAGTAAATCGGTTTCAAGTATAAAATGTGATACAAAAACGAGGAGAAAAACAGCAAAAAAATGTAATCCCAACTTGGGGATCGAACCGGTTACCATTGGCGCCATACACACTGGAAGCGTCCATTGCGCCAAAGCGCCACCGTGCCGCGTAGTGGTTATTTCTCTTTTTAAGTAGTTTCCTCGACAGTTTAATTTTTTGCAATATTATTATTGTTTTTGTTTTGGGAATTCGAATAACACGAGATAACGATTGTGCGCAAACGAGTAGTCACAAAAATAATAGTATCAAGCGGGCAGCATAACCACCTGTTTACTATATTATTAACCCTTAACCAACCTCTAACCTCTTTGGCATCGTACAGACTACCTGGAGATGTAAAATCGTTTTGTTGTGATTCGTTCACATACCTCTTTGTTTGTTGTCATTATCTGATTGCCAGTTTGATAGTAAACACGTCTTGTAACGAATTGATACTGGGTGACTACGATAATATTATTATAGTCTATACTATCTATCGTGATACTATAATCATAATATTATAGTAAAATAATAATAGTATATTATATCGTATATTTTTTTTGTTGGAATTTTAATCATTTTTAATTTAGTTCGCTTATTAATTTTGCTATGGATAGAGTGCTTGTTTTATTCGAATTTATACTGTGCAATTGACCGGCACGATGGAAAGTAAAAAATCAGGAACGGGAATGCGATGTTCGGTCAAGTTTTGCAACAATAGAGCTTGCGATAAAAAGCGAAGTTTCTTCAGGTATCCAATAAAAGAACCTGAACGTTGTAAAGTTTGGATGAAAAACTGCCAGACCGAACACCTGGCCGAGCAGCTTGTGGACAGTCACAAAGTATGTGCGGATCACTTTGAAAAAAAAATGTTCTTAAACGCTTCGGTAAAAAACAGATTAGTCTTCAACGCCGTGCCGACAGTGTTTAACGGTAAGTAATTTCATAATAGATATACCTACATTTAAAAAAAAAACTATAACTAGGCTAACATAAAAATAAATTATCAGACCAATAGACAGATAGACAGGCGAGGCGTTTCCTTTGATAATAGCTATCTTTAAATTTAATTAGGTATACTTTTTAACGTTTATAGTAACAAAAAAAATCTGTCGTCAACAATTTTATTTTATATGAAAAAATTCAAAAAATTACTCAAAACACTCTAAATGTGAATTTTGAAGGCTACTGTGGGTTGACAAACTTGAAATTCAGTATATAACACAACATAATATGTATACAAAATTAAAAACAAATTTTACTTATTTATAGAACACTTTTTTTAAAATCCCCTTCCTCCGACCACCCTTAAGTAAGGAGCAAATTTGTCACCCCTCCCCCAAAATTCGAAAACTAAATTTATAATTTTTGACTCTTAAAATTGCGCCAATTTAAAAAAAAAATCCCCCTTTGCGGAGGCGAGTTATATGTATATAAAATAATTATATTAATTATTATCTAATTATTATTTGTATATTTTGTGATAATAAATTGTAAACACCTTAAATTGTCTATAATGATCTGATACCTTAATTTGTAAAACGAGTATTTCCAAATTTTAGATGACATAATAAACCAAAGAAAACAACACAATGAATCTATTAAATTGGAACCAATAGATCCCGACGTGTCCATTGCTAGTGACGAGAGCTGTGGTCAAATGGTGAAAGAAGAACCTAAAGACGATGAATACATTTTGATTCCCATCCCAGAAACTTCGACTTCCATTGGTATAATGGCTTATGATTATCAGAGTTTACCGGCTACAACTTCTGATGCTTCAGATCAAAAAACGGAGACCTTACCAGTAAGTACTCTAGACGAAGAGGAATTGACAACAAAGATTGCCACACTAAATGAAGAAAAGAAAAATTTGGAGCAGACCATTGTGCGTTTAAATCAGCAATTGGCAAACATAGACTCTGTAGATAATTATTTGAAATTAAGTGAAAAGTATTTATCACCCGAATTATTTAATATAGTTAAGTATTATGTAATGTTTAAACATAAAAATTAATTTAAATAAATATTTGAGTTAACTCAAAATATGTCCTTAATGTAACAAATATCCTATTAATTTCAATAAAATACTTATTTTTTTGTGTGTTATAAAAATAATTATTTGTTTTGTATAAGTCAAAAATATATATACAAGTATTAAGTAAATTAATCAACATACAAATTTCTTATGGTTTGATATCGATTCAATTTATCGATAATGTTTTGTGTTTTAAACATAATAATAATTGATATTATTGTGTAAAACATATCTGGATAAAGTACATCGAACCAGAGAGCTTAGTTCGCATTTTTATTAGACGGAAATTGAAGGGAAGGAGTACTTAGGTGTGGATAACTCAAGTTGTAGTTTTATGCATAGTCAACCAGCTAGAAACTAGATATTTTTTCAGCTCACTAGTCAAATTTTAAACAAATTCCTGTAAACGGAGCTTTGATTTTGTCTTATACAAAAAAAACGTTGGACGGATCTAAGACAGTATTTAAAAAAAAAAAAAGGTTTTCAAGTGTGGTTTTGGCTAGCAGACCTGGAAAAGGAAACGACTGTATACACCTAATTTGGTTCAATATTAGGCGGAACCGATTTCTTGTCTTGATTTCTGGTAAGTGTCTATTAGGACTCTTGGCATAATGTGCGTTTTGAAGGCTCCGGACAAAACGTCCATTAAAGCCCTTTGCTATTAACATCACGTCAGTCTACCGCCGCCGCCGTTTGTTTTAAGTACAATATACACTGCACCTATAGAGCGCTTAGGCGCGCCCGAGTAATGACGTTAAGGTCCGGTAAATGAAATGCGTTTTGGTTAAATGTCTCGGCGTCCCCTTCGCAAACCCTCGGGGCACACGCCGACGGTGCAATAATCCCCTGAAAACTATCTCTAAATACACACACACACACATATACATATTATATACTCGCTATCTGGGTTTTACCCCCCCCCCCCCGTGTGTTATACATAGTGATTTCCTCTGCTGCGCGGCTACCCTTCTGTCCTATTTTCTCCTTCCGCGTGTGTACCTATGTATATATATATACATGCGAATAGCTGCTGCAACATATAATATATCCGTGTATATGTCCTCTCGCACCTCTTGTCACTCCTAGCCACACACACACACACACCCGGCCACCGGCACTATCTGCAAGGTTTTATCGACGACCGGAAACGCTATTAAAACGAAACGCTCGGATTCGCCCGTGGCGGTCGCAGTCGTTTCGCTAATGTTCCGGATCGCTTCAATAAAGTCACACGTGTAAAGCGCATAAATAGCAGTACACGGTCCTCTGACTCTCTCCGTCTCGAGAGCTTTTGGACCGCCGCCTGTATGATAATAATAATAATAATATGTCTGTTATATATAAGCTTCTTAGGTCTAACGACTCCGGTGTTGTATGCACATATACTTCCCCCTTCCCGAAAATAATAATAACCTCTCCCGACCTTCGAAACGCACTCGTATTTTTAAAGAATTGTGTTTAACACACCGTTTTGTAGCCACTTCCAAGTCCAGATAGTGTACATTTTAAAATCGTTAAGACTGTTATACGCTATTATGGTGTTTTTGGAAAAAAAAAAAATGTTCTCCTTTATTTTACATATACGATCTATACAATTTTAGTACAATAAGTATATATGATGACACAGGTAAATTATAAACATTGAAAGTATGAATAGAGAAGCCGTCCATTGACGACACTCTTATTAACTTTGTTTTTTAATTAACTGATAGTGAGAAGCGGTCTCTGCACCACTTCCTTTTAAGTCTTTTTGGTGGGTTGTTGGGCATTGAGGGTAATGTGAGATTATTTACAAGGGGGTTTGGGTGATTTTGAAGAGAATTGTGGTAACGTCTGTAGTAGTCTTTGGCAACTTGTATTATTGTTTCTATTTGTAAATCAGAGTGTAGAGTATGGTTTGATATATAAGGTGGTGCATTAGTGATGAGACGGAACAACTGGATGACAACTGGAACCAAATCTTAAATCCGAATCCGGAGACCGTTTTTAAAGCTGTAAAAACACAGCTTAAATCAGCTGACAGGGTCATCTAAGTTATTTATTAGCTACCTCTAACTTATTGTGTAAGTTTGCATCTGGTTGGTGTTTGAGGAATTATTAATGTCATCGTGTTATGTTGAAATAGGAGATTTAAGTTTTGGAAGTATTTGAAAACTGGCGAAACTTTAAGGGTGAAGGAGTGAACTTACCCCCCAAGTACTAACAGGGGTTTGAACGTTTGACAGTTTAAACATTTTTTTTTCTACTAATTTTTTGATGTAATATTTGTTGCTAAGTTTTAATATTGAGTTTCAAGCGTCGGTTAGCAAAAAGTGATCTATAAGTAGAATAACTATGATTATCATATACGACCGCACTTGAGTAGTGTAAATCTACGGTTTACGGTTATTATCACCGATCCTTAGTCGTCAAGTGGAGAGTGTATACATTATTACTATGGGCAAACATTTGGGCGGACGATACGGTTCGGCAACATATATGTGCCATGATTCTTCGAGTACACATTCAAGAGAAACAGATTTAACAGAGAATACTAATACTCCATTTATTCGCCATTGGGACGCATATTGATGCCTGCTTTTTATTTTTCACAGTTTTTTTTTTATATTTTTTATCGGACTTCTTAAACGATTTTGCATTCACCAATACCGCCTCCCCTCTGAAGCCCCTGAAATTCTACCGCCATATACAAACGAATTAGGATGCAAATCTACCGCCAAACTCGAGCGGCGTTCAGTGCAATGAATATAAACACTGCGGCTTTTCCTTTGGTCTCTCTCAACTCACCGGCAATAGGCAGGTACCGCGAATGTATACACAGGGACCGTACTGGCGACTTAGCATAATTTTCGCATCTATATTGCAGGTCTCCCCCCCGGCCGGGCGTACAGAGCCGAAACCATATTTCAGACGTGACCCCCTCGACTCCCGTGTAATATATCTGCACGCAAACGAGGTCATTCTTAAACAACAACGGCCCGGGGGCGTGTAAGGAATACCGTCGATTACACGGCGGCAAATCTAGGATCACCGGTGCCCGCGAGACCCAAGATCTGTAGGCTCTTAATAGTATGCATTTGGGTATACCCATAATTAGCTTAGTTTATTAGGACTTATTGGCCGACCCGCAGGCGACCAATATAACCGTTAACGAGTATTCATATTATATATGAATAATAATATGCGACACTTATATTAAAAAAAAAACTGTTACATTTTTTCCCCCGTTTAATTCGAATCTACTTACCAACGTTTTATGCGAGAACGAATGCCGATAAAAAAAAAAACCAAAAATAATTTACTCAAACGGTTTGGATTTACATAATATATTCATTTCGATTAAAATATTATTTCTTATATTATTAAGTCGTTATAATCCCAACTAATGAATACAATATTAGACTCGATTCGAATAAATTATTCCAAACGATTGCCCAAGTAGTTGCGTTTAAAACGTAGGCGCTTAATTAGTTCGATAATAGCATATTAATGACATCAGATGGTTTTGCGTTGATGTGTACAAGTTAAAGGATTACCGAGCCGGAAGGTGACGCAGGGCGTATAGTTTTGGTAGTTAAACTGCTATAGTTGATTTTGTATAAATTTAATAACAAAAAAAAAATGAAGAATGTGTGCAGGCCTAGACTCAGTTTTCTCAAATGTATACACTGTACAATCATCATTACCTGTTTATAACCAATAACAATTGACAAAACCTATATGCATTGGCTAGTATGACTTGAATATATTTTCGACAAGCTATATTTCACCGATAAAAAATAAGTGGAATCCCAAGTCTTGTAGTTAACAAAACAAAAAACCGTCAACAAAATATAATATAATTCCTTATTTATTCATTCGTGCATTAAGCGCGGTGAGGCGTTCAATTGTACACGCTGTTTGTATATTACATGATTCTCTAAAATAATTATATTATCTAACAAAATCGTACAACCAGAAACTTCATTTTTTGTGAATAAATTAGCATATAATATCGTAACAGCATAGGAGACGATTGAGTTTGTTCTTAGTTTTTTTTTCTTTACACATAAAAATCATTATTTTTCACATCATCATTTTCCATATTCGGTATAGCGACTCGGCGTCTCGGTTAATCCCAAATGTCATTTGTCGATGTACATTTCTCGTGGGACATAATATATGTTATTATGAACAACGTATCGTTAAGATCCACGCATAAGCTCAGCTTTACCAGCTGATGGTGTTTGCGCATCTTCTTGGGGAGATCCTATCCAGAAAACTCGGATAAGAAACGGAGAGCAGTAGCCAGGAGGAGGAGACCGTGTTAAACATTAATTAACTATAATAATATATTGCATCCTATCCTGGCGTATGGCTACTGTAACGCGAAACCCGTCTCGTATCGCCTGTACCCTCGTAAAGCGCAGTCAATTTATGATTGTTAACAACAGGCAGCTATGTGTATAATAAAATATGGTCAGAGAAATATTATTATTGGGTCAGTTTGTGCGGTGGTGCGAGCAAGAGACGATGATCACGAGCTGTCAAACGCAGTAACGCGACAAAGGCCACCGGTATTTTTTTATATTTTTTATTACTGACCTTTAAGTTTTTTTACTGCCCGCATAATATAAACGGTCTGTTGGACATCCAAGAGCGTCGGACGCCTTATTTTTTTATACTATTCGACAGCCTTTTGTTGTACTTGTGTTTAATGCGATCACAAATCCGCACGAGTTGGCTGTTGACCACCACCATCGCGTTAAGCGTTGTTTTACATATTATTATTATTACTATATTGTTATTATCGTTATTATAGCTTCTGTATGATTGTTATCGCCGTCATAACCCGTCGTCATCATACATAATATCATTATCGGTTATTATTATATACTTGCAAGGAGTTTTAATGTGTGCCGTTTAATATATTGTATTATAAACCGGGCGGTAGTAAAACGGCCGATTGTAAAATTTAACGAAAAAAATAAATAAATAATAAGCACCGAAATTAGATCACCCTCGTCCGTCAACGGCGGTGGTGGTTTA